GAACCCACAGGCTTGAGTTTATAAGAGCTAAGCAGTGCAGTTGAGGATGGGACATTCTGGAGATTCCTCCTTCATAGGGTCTTCAGTTGATATCCTTATTTGCCATTCTATGGTATCTTACAGTTCAGGACATCAACTGAAGACTCAAGCCAGTTTTGAACACCATTGACACCAAACAAGCAGTACTGCGTGCTAAAGAAAAGCAACGGTTTATTTTACTTTAATTTAGCTTAAATTGACTGTTCCTGGTAGTTTAATCCCAAATTTGTTAAGGCAGGCCATGCCACTGAGTAATTTTCCCTCCCCCAGCTAAAAGGAAACTTTCAGAAAGGGAGGAAGGCAGATTGTCTGTGATTGTCCTCTGTTTTAAGAGATGGGCCATAAATTCCAAACTGCTAGCTGAGGTGGAGCTTGAAATCAATATGCAGGCCGCAGCTATTTCTATCTAAGAAGCTAATTTGGCCTCTGCATCATCAGCCATGTAAATCTGGGACATAAGTTTGGAACTGCTCACAAAAAATTGATGCACAGCCTTGAAGATGATTGGTCATTGAAAGCTCTCTGTTTGTTTTTTGTATTGATTTTTTGTTTTATATTCTTAATGGTCAAATAGAGGTATCACCTGCTATTGCATATGCATTGTTTTCACAACCATGTGGCCCTTATCTGAATTTTCTATGATGGGAAATAGTACTTATTTATATGTTTTTTTAAAATTTAGACTGGCGTCTGTTGTACTGAGTGCTGTCAAGTTGGCATTGATTTATAGCACTCCTAATCATGCTAGAGGATTACCATGCTAGAGGAACTAGGGACCAAACTGCTAACATGTGCTGGATTATGGAGAAAGCCAGAGATTTCTAGAAAAACATCTACATTTGCTTCATTCACTATGCAAAAGCCTTTCACTGTGTGGACCACAGCAAACTATGGCAAATCCTTAAAGAAATGGGAGTGCAATTATCTGTCTCCTGAGAAATCTATATGTGGGACAGGAAGCAACAGTTAGAACTGGATATGGAACAACTGATTGGTTCAAAATTGGGAAAGGAGTATGACAGGGCTGTATATTGTCCCCTGGCTTATTTAACTTATATGCAGAATACATCATGCGAAAGGCTGGACTGGAGAAATCCCAAGCAGGAATTAACATTGCTGGAAGAAATACAGTGGTGCCTCACTTAGTGATGTTAATCCGTTCCGGAAAAAACATCACTAAGTGATTTAATTGCTAAGCAATATTAAAAAGCCCATAGGAACATATTAAAACGTATTTAATACATTCCTATGGGCTAAAAACTTACCTTAAAGCGAAATTCCTCCATAGCGGCGGCCATTTTGGGTGCCTCTAAAGCGAGGCAAAACAGCGGTGGCCATTTTGTTTTTGCGGCGGCCATTTTGTTTTTGTGGTCGCCGTTTTGGAACCGCCGATCAGCTGTTTAAAAAAGTTTGCTTTGCCATTATCACTTCCCCGCGATCATCGCAAAGCAAATTTTAGCCATAGGGGCCATCGCTAAGCGATCACTCCAGCGATGGCCAAAAGTCCATCGCAAAGCGATTTCATCGCTCAATGGAGCGATCGCTAAGCGAGGCACCACTGTATCAACAATCTCTGATATGCAGATGATACCACTCTGATGGCAGAAAGTGAGGAGGAATTAAAGATCCTCTTAATGAGGGTGAAAGAGGAGAATGCAAAAAACGATCTGAAGCTCAACATCAAAAAACTAAGATCATGGCCACTGGTCCCATCACCTTCTGGCAAATAAAAGGGGAAGATATGGAGCCAGTGACAGATTTTACTTCCTTGGGCTCTATGCTTAATGCAGATGGTGACAGCAGCCACAAAATTAGAAGACGCCTGCTTCTTGGGAGGAAACGATGACAAACGTAGACAGCATCTTAAAAAGAGACATCACCTTGCCAACAAAAGTACGCAGAGTCAAAGGTATGGTTTTCCCAGCAGCAATGTATGGAAGTGGGAGCTGGACAATAAGGAGGGTTGACCCACAAAGAATTGGTGCTTTTGAACTGTGGTGTTGGAAGAGACTCTTGAGAGTCCCCTGGACTGCAAGGAGATCAAGCCTATCCATTCTGAAGGAAATCAACCCTGAGTGCTCACTGTAAGGACAGATCCTGAAGCTGAGGCTCCAATACTTTGGCCATCTGATGAAAAGAGAAGACTCCCTGGAAAAGACCCTGCTGTTAGTAAAGTGTGAAGGCAAGAGGAGAGGGGACGACAGAGGACGAGGTGGTAGGACAGTGTCATCAAAGCTACCAACATGAATTTGACCCAACGCCGGGAGGCAGTGGAGGACAGGAAGGCCTGGCGTGCTCTGGTCCATGGGGTCACGAAGAGTTGGACACGACTAAACGAATAAACAACAATCATGCTCTCCAGGTAAATGAAATATTTGCAACCCTCCATTGAGCTTCCATGCCTGAATGGGAGTGTGAATGCAGATCTCCTGAGTCCTAGTTATTCATTCAATCCACTACACCACAGTGGAGGCTGATGTATCATAGTCATCTGTGAACTTAGAAGTGAATTATTTATTGATTCTGCTGCCACCAATCTGGCAGCAATGCCTATCAACCTCCCCACACACACACCTGTGGCTCCTGAAGGCTTCTCCAGGACAAAAGGGAGCCTTAAGAAGCCTTGGAACCTGAAGGAACGATTTCCAATTCAATACTGCCATGGGTTGATGATGTCATTCTAACAGTGGTTTCCAACTTTGGGTAACCCAGGTGTTCTTGGACTGCGAATTCCAGAAATACCAGCCAGCACAGCTAGTGATGAAAGCTTCTGAGATACAATCCAGGCGAAAGCTGCACCAACAGAATTTCAGCCAGTGAGTTCAATAGGGTTTATTCCTAGGGAGATATATACAGGACTGCCATCTTAAGAATCGGAAGGAGGAAATAATCATGCAAGAAGGAGGAAAACATACAAGTAATGGAATATTAAACTGCTAAAATATTTTGGACTAGCTGGCAGTTTTATTTGTACCATGCCTTAAAAAGAATGGTTGAATTCTTTAACACAGGTACAAATCAATAATTAGCACAGACTATGAGTTATTGAAGTCTACTTTTGCAAACAACACCAGACAGTAGGAAAGTCTACACATTCCTTACTTCTATACAGGGACAGATCCTCCCTGTGAACCACGTAGACTATGTGCCCAAAAGTCAAAGTAGAATTAAAAATGTAAACAAGCCATCTGAGGAAAATGACACTATCTTGAGCTTCTGATTACAATATCTGATATACAGTAATTACTAGGTGCTATTTTCCTCAATATCATGCAACAGTACTAATCTATATCACTTCCCATTAGCAATACTCATGGTTTTATTAATTTTAAAATGAAAAGCTGTTCTTCTTTCCATTTTGGAATGAACAAAGGTTCAAGACTTAACAAAGGTTAAGACTAAACTGTGCTGCTTCATTAAGAGCAGATCTCCTAAAGAAGTGGATCATTGCTCATAATCAATCTCTATTATAGTCTCACAAATCTTCATGTGGTTCATTTAAATCTAACTGTAGATCTCCTAAACAGTTTGCTAAATTTAACTTTCTAACAAGAAACAATGTTTAGAAACAGAACTGTTTACATTACCATTAAAAATTAAAACTAAAGACAGCAAACAGCAAAAAGGAAAAAGATGCATACTACCTGTAAATAAGAAGAAATCAAAATACCTAAAGAAATTGAAAGACCTTCATAGCATGGTTTATAATTAAGTAAATAGACATGGCTAATTAAGGAGAGAAATCCACAAGTCCTCCTAAACACTACCATATCTTATTTCTTGGACACAAATGGAACAAGGTCTCCCAAGAGGTCTCCATGAAACACAGTTGAAAAGCAGCTCAACAGTACAAAAAAAGATTTAAAGGCAATTCAACATGTTGACTACTTCAAGGGAACTAGCTTTCAAAAAATGACTCCTTTTGAAGCCACATTATAGAAGCACTTCATTTCTAGCTATTCAAGAGTTTATGAATGGCTTTTTCAAGTATAGCCTCTAAAGAAATAACAGCAGCCCATGCTAGGCAGTACTCTAATGCACTTTTGCGGCTTGCCAAAGGAGAACACATGTGTTTATTAATGGTAGATATCATCCAGAGGTATTAACTAATGCTTCTGTCAAACGTTGCACAGTCGTAAATTCTCCAAGAGGTGGAGATCTCTAGATTAGAATTTATAGCTACTTGAACAAGAAGGCTGGTCTTCTATCCTTCCTGGCAAAAGGCTCTGCTCACTGTCAAAGTATAAAAAAGTCACAGAGTGATCAGGAAACTCAATTTTACACTGTTTTGCTCATGAATCTTGTAATTCAGATATTAAGACCAGTAACCAAGTAGAATAAATCCACTCAATCTATTGCTGAATGGTAATCTGCAATTTATGTAAATTCCACTGAGTCAATGGGTAGATCCTTGTGAGGTACAGTAGGACACTGACTTAAGAATTCTAATTAGTCATCAAAACATACAAAACCACAGCTTATGGAGTCTGAGAAACATTAATTGCAGTGACAGGGACCACCAGCACAAATCTATCCTGGCATACGAACCAAAACCCGTGGCACTGGTAAGTTAGTTAAGACCATCCACAAAATGGAGAAAGTAAAGCCATGCTCTGAACCTGGAAGTGTGACAGTACCCCATACTGTTGAATTTTTACCTAGTACAGTACCAAGCTATCTGAATGCAACAATTGACTGTACACTACCTTTAGGCAATCAAACTGCAGAGCAGACCTTCACAATGTAAAAGCTGTACAGTATCTCCGTAGGAAAAGCCTACTGCTAAATGTCAGCATGCTGCTGAAGAAACCATGGCTTAGGTAACCTTGTGTGGCTTGGTAAAGTATACGAAGGAGATGGAAGAGTGGCTAGACTAAAGAGGAGATGAGAAAGGAGGTTAAGAGCGAGCTTTTGCCCCCCCCGCCCCCCCCCAACCGTCACCTCCGCGCCGCGGTTCGTACCTTCACAGCCACTGCCGGGGCCGAATCCACGACAGGCACCAGAGCCTGGTGGGCGAGGGCGGGGGGCGGCGAGGTCAGGTGGAGCACGGCATCCCCGCCGGCGACCTGGGCCGAACGAGTGGGTCTCCCCTCAGCGTCCGAGTCCGAGTCCGAATCCGAGCCGCCGTACGACGCCAAGGCAGCGATGGCGGCCGACATCTTGGCGAAGCGGAAGTGGGGCCCCGGCAGGAAGGGGCGGGCACTCGCGGCGGCCGCGGAAGAAGGGTTCCCTCCGTGCGCTGTGCTGTACTCATCACCTGGCCGTCGCGGCGAGGTGGCTCTCCTTACACAGCAGCAGGGTTGACTTCCCAGCGAATAAGTATACGACACTTTATTCATTTAAAAGCCCTTCAGGCTGTAATCGCATACACAGCTTCTGGGAGCAAATCTTATGACGCTCAATGGACCTTCTCATTAGCTGTATGCGTGCTTGTTCTGTGAGACGCTGTTTATCGCGTTACTTTCATAAGATAATGCAGGGATGAATCAAGATGAAAATTCCGGCCTTACGCCTTGCAATGCGAGAAACCCCAAGGATTCTTTCATTAAAGGGACAACATTTTAACTCAACGGTGTGCCATTAAATAATGAAACACCGGTGCCCATCATGAGTCTTCTTCATAACCACGCCCCCAAAAGGTGACAAATGCAGGCGGCAGCGTGAACATAAAGAACAATGTTTTGCAGTTTTCAGTCTTCCTCAGGAACAAGTCTTTTGCAGAGTTAAGGCACATGCATTGCTGATTTAAGTCCCAGCCATTCCAAAAGGATTTCCATTTCAACAAGATAACACCATTTTCTGCTCCTGCAACCATGAAGACTGGAAGGTAGATATCATCAGTTTTCTATTCAGCAGATCTAAACATGTTGCATCCATATACAGTATGTAGTCTCCAAAGTTCTTTAGGTAAGAAATTCTTATTTCTGCCCTTTCCTGCCACTTATTTTACCTTGAACGATCAGTTGCAACTATCTGTACTTGTTGTTTCCCATTATGTTACTGAGGTATTCTGGCTTTTTGTGTTTTGTCAAAAACTCCTTGGAAACACCAACTGTGAATGGGCAATAAACTGAAGGCCTCCCTTGGCAGTCTGTCTGTTGCATGCTCTGGAGGAAAGGCTGGAACTTCAGAACTCTACTGAGCCTCCCAGGAAAGGGATCAACTGACAAAAGCAGCACCAAAAAATACTTGGTAAACAAAAGCAACACCAAAAATACAGTCAAAGTAATAAGGAACCACAATACATTTAAGAACTTCACTCAGTCACTAAAGGAAAGCTTGCCTGTAGAGAAAAGCCTTTGCCTGCTTGTGGAAGGACACCAGAGATTGGGACAGCCTGGCCTTCTGTGGGAGCGAGTTCTAAAGTCTGGGAGGAGCGACAGAAATCTCTCCTGTGTATCCATTGTACAAATGTGAATGTGGTGGACCTTTCTTTGCATGGATTTGAAAGCTGGATAGTGGAGAAAGTTGGCAGGATTAAAACTGACTCATTTGACAAGTGGTGGAGAACTTTATTGATACCATGGAATATGAAAAAGTGAAATAAATGGAACACTAGATCAAATTGAGCCTGAATTGCCTCTAGGAGAAAAAGTGACTAAATTGAGGCTATTGTACTTTGGGCACATCAAGGTAAGACTGGAAAATACAGTAAGGCTGATAAAAGTTTTAAAAGGCCAAATATGAGACAGATTAATTTAACAGACCGTCAAGTCTGCAAGACCTGAGCTGTGCCATTATGAATCGTTTTGGAATTGTCTTGATGGCACATAACAATAGGATTAAATCCCACTGGGTTTAATGAAGCTGCCTTGAGGGAAAACATTAAAAAAAATTTAAAACCCACTTTGTCCAATGTTATATTTATTCTGAAGTACCTCCCCCCGGGTCCTGGGGTTAGATAAGATTTGGGGCCCCGACAAGAGTACAGTAACAGAACTACAGCCTTAATTTGTAGGTGGGATTTAAATAATGGCTTTTAGATGACAGCAGTCCCGCAGACATCTTCGAAGGGCAGATCCTTGGCCTTCTGAATTCCTCCGTTTGCTAAGAAACCACATCTAAACAAGAGGGCGTCCGGGGAGGGGGGGCTACAAACCAAGTGCCTTAACCTCTGCGAAGAAGAGGCCGGGCAGACTCCTCCCGGCGCAGGGGTTTCTTTCTCTCTCGCCCTGAAAGAGCCACCAACTCCACCTCCTTCCCCTGCCATTGGCTGAGAGGAGCCGGCTTGAGTCAACGCCGCAATAAGTCGGGTGCCGCCTCCCTCGCTCGCTGCTCTCACCGCTGAAGAGAACAAAACTCGCCTGTACCACCCGACGCCGCACGGGGGGGGGAGGAGGAGGAGGCTGGAAGGTGGGCGATGGTGCCTCCCGACCCCTTCCCTAGTGTCTCAGGCAGGCCGTAGGGGGGACGTCGGTCAGGTGGTGTGCGTAAACAACACCTCCGCCGTGGGTCCCTTCCCATCCTTGCCTTCCCTCCCCCTCTTCCAGGAGAGAGAGAGAGTGCTGGAGCCGGAGGAGAAGCCCCGCCTTCGGCACACTCACCCTCGCATCCACACACGCACGCGCGCGCGCCGTTCTGTGTGTGTCTATTGTGAAGCTTTGTGCGGGGGAAGGTCTGCGGGTTCACTCTCTTCCCTCAGTTGCCATTCTTTTTTTTTTCCCCCATCGACCCGGCGCGCCCCCCCCTTCCT